TTCATGTGGAGTAACAGTTTTTATAATTAATTTTATTCAGTTACTGTGTGCCCTAGGAATTCATTTAGTCTGATCATCGACTTTTTTTTTTTTTTTTTTTTTGAGACAAGGTCTTGCTCTGTTGCCAGAGTTAGAGTGCAGTGGCATCATCATAGCTCACTGCAACCTCAAACTCAGGCTCAAAATGATACTCCTGGCTCAGTCTCCCAAGTATCTAGGACTAACTACAGGCACACACCTCCATGCTTGGATAATTTTTTAATGTTTTGTAGAGACAGGGTCTCACTACTTTGCTCAGGCTGGTCTTGAATTCCCGGCCTCAAGCAATTCTCCCACCTTGGCCTCCCAAAGTGCTAGGATTGCAGGCATGAGCCACTGTGCCCGGTCTGAAATGTTGTTTTATATTATCTTTTCTCTAATTGATGTTTGCTGTCATCTACACCTACAACTTTTGTTGGTGTAAGGATTTCACCTATTTTAGAGATTTATTTTATCTGAAAAATAAATGAGAAGGAGTATCTTAATTTGCAGCCCATTTTTATGGTTTTATGTGGTAACATTTAACTTTTGGTAAACCTTATATTGTTTATTGGGAAGCCGTTAGTTAAAAAAGGGAGTAGGGGGTTGAGGCACATATTTTCACCTTAGTAGACAAAATTTGAAATGCGCATTCTTAATTGACATGAAACATAGGAACTTATTTTACTGCTACTTCATGGGCTTAGATTTGTTTGATTCTTTTTTTGGCAGTTACCTTTCATTCGTTTTTTACTGACCACTTTCTCTTATCATACAGTAAAAGCATCTATAAAGTAATGTTCAAGTGCACATATTGGATGAAGCCTTGATTTTAACAAGGCATAATGTTTCCACATTGGCATACAAAGTAGTGGATTACAAGAAATACTAGGAAGATCTTGTTAAAATGTTGTTTCTCACATGAACTTCAAGAGTAGCATTAACCAAAATGTTCATCTGTTTTTTTTCTCCCCAGCATGTTGGTGAAAATAGTTTGCATAATAGTGAATGAGAATAGACATTTTAGAAATGGTTTTTTAGAACAATTAGTTTCCCTTGTGACATAGAATAATCTTATATTGCTGAGCTATTATACTTGTTGAGTCCTAGTTCCATACAAAGTACCAGTCTTTTAATTTTATTAGTATAGTTATAAATTTCTTTTATAAAATTTTAGTGAGATGCAGCCAGAAGATAACAAACTCTTTCTTTCTAATTATATGTATAATATTACTTTATTTCTAGGGTTTACAGATTGGTACTCGAGAATTGGAAGAGATGGGAGCAAAATTTTGTGTTGGTCTTTTGCGTTTGAAAAGACTGACATCCCCATTGGAATATAATATGCCTTCCAGCCTGCTTGACTTTGAAAATGACTTAATTGAATCAAGCTGCAAAGTAACTAGGTAGGATACAATTGTTTCATTCTTTTATTATGTTGCAGTATACTGTTAGGCTTCATTAAAATAGTTAAGCACCGAAAAGTCATGGAGATTTTGACAGACAAGTGCACATTTAGAATTAATATAATTAGGCTTACCCATCTAATATTTGTTTCAAATTGTGATCATATTCTTGATTCTTTGAATGTTGATATTTAGATGTGATTTTAATAAAAATATCATTATATTTTGAATGCTGTTTTTATTATTATAATGCTTTACTTTTAAGCCCACAATAAGCAATGTGAGAAATATTGCACTTAGATATTATCTAAATTAAGAGGGATTAGAGTCAGGATTTATGTTTCAAAAGATTTTGTTTTCTCTACACACATCAGATGGCTATCCAATAACTTCTGTTTATATATATATATATTATAAACAGCTAATTTAGCATCCCTTTGAGAATTTACATCTGCCAAATATTCTTCTAGGTAGGTAATCTTTTCTACTAAAATTCAGTGTATAAAAATTTGTTCAGTTATAGGCTCAGAGAAACCATAAAATGGTAAAATGATTTTTTAAAAAGTTATTTTTGTTTTTAATATATAAATATATAAACTTCTAAAAATAAAACGGATGACAAATAAATACTCATTTCTCTTGTATATAATTTAGTTAATAGAGTATACATTGATTTAAAACTTTTAGGGAGAGAAATGTACCTTACTGAGCCAGGTTTTTTTTTTTTTAATTCTAAAATACAAGGCTTTGATCATAACGTATACTTTTTAAAAAAGTTAATAGACTATTCTTAGAGCAATCTTAGGTTCACAGCAAACTTGGAAAGTGCAGAGAGTTCCCATGTAACCCTGTCCCCATACAGGCACATAACATAAATATTTTAAACTTGTTAGCTCATAAATGTGTAAGTCTAATAACAGTTTAGTAAACAGTCTCCTTCACCCTCAACTATGTTTTTATGTTACTGAATTTTAAAGCTGTAAGTGTTCTTTATTTTCTATGAACTAATTCAGAAACAGGTATAGCTTTTCTAAAACTCTTAA